CTAGTTTTCATGGGCTTTTCCAGTTTGTTTTGCTCTTCGAATATATACTATTGTGTACAAATTGTGTGAATGACTCTTGTTATTCCGTCTGAAATGAGGTCCATAAGCTGTAAGGATTTTCGTACTCAGATAAGAATGCACTCAGAGTTGCAGAACAAAGATAGAGGCAGATGGGAAGTGGTGCAGCAGAAGGCCCTCAATAGAGCTTACCGTTTAAGGATGAGGCCAAGTAAGAGTTGTACGGACTGCCGCCGTCTACTAGAAAGTTGCAGGGTCTCTTCCTTCCAGGAAGGTAGTGGGTCCCTCCCCATAGCCCCCCAATGTGTTCCTCCTCACATGAATTCCTGTGTGAGCTGTGCTCTCTGAGAAGACCTGTGTCCCCACTCTGCCCCCACTGGGCTGCCCTTTGAGCCCCGTCAATGCCCTCTCTTCACAGTTACTCAGACCCCACCATGTGGACCGCCTACCTGGGCCTGCACGACCAGAGCAAGCGCAGCGACCCCGGGGTGCAGGAGCACAAGCTGAAGCGCATCATCCGCCACCCCAACTTCAACGACTTCACTTTCGACTACGACCTGGCCCTGCTGGAGCTGGAGAAGCCAGCCGAGTACAGCAACGTGGTGCGGCCCATCTGCCTACCAGATGCCACACATGTCTTCCCTGCCGGCAAAGCCATCTGGGTCACAGGCTGGGGGCACACTACAGAGGGAGGTGAGTGTCAGGCTGAATCCAGGAACCCCAGCCTCCCGGGCATTCAAGCCCCTCTGTCCACAGAGTCCTGTGGGCAGTGGGCGGTGTGTCTCTGGCACCTCTCCCTGGCAGCAGGAGGTCATTCCGGAGCCACGCAGAAACTTCTAGGGAAAGACGCCAGGGATTGGAGACAGATAGAAAAGAGAGAAAGAAAAGAGGCAGGGCCGTGCGTAGACCAGCCAGGACTGCATGTCTGCCCTTACTCGGGGTGTCCGAGATTTAGGGGCACAATGCCCTCCAGAGAGGGGCAAATGGTGGAGCGGGGAGAGCCTTGGCAGTTAGCTGCTTTGCCCAGATTCAGGCGCTTAGCTGAGGCAGGCACGGCGAGTTGCTTACAACTCTGTCTGTAAGGTCAGGATGACTGCTTGTGAAAGCAAATGGGGGAGGCCCACATGCTGGGCCGTTCTGTCTGCAAAGCCTGGCCTCTGCCACACACCCTCTCTGAAGCCTCAGAGGGAGGCCATACACATGCTCTATTGTATTTTAAATTCCATTTATAAGCCAAGTATCCACTTGGCTTAAGAGTTCAGAAAGTAGAGAGGCAAAAGGAAAGCGACCTGGCTTTATGACCGAGTGGTCACACCCTCCTCTGCTCGCCCCAGTGCTGGTGGTTTGAAGGCACCGCCACTCCCCGGGAGAAAGACAGCCTCCAGAGCTGGGTCGCTCAAAGTTGGAATCGAGTTGGGGCAATAGGCAATAGGTTTCATGGTTTGGGTGGCCCTACCGCCTGGCCACAACCATGTTCTTTTCTTCTAGGCGTCTCTTATTTTCTCACCCACCGGAGCATATGTTGGAGCTCCTGGCACCAGGCCACCCGGTTACCCATGCACCAGAGAAACCAAACTCCTTGCCATCAAGTCACTGCTGAATCACAGCGCCCCCTGTGGGATTCTGAGACTGTTTATAGGAGTAGAAAGCCCAGTCTTTCTCCCCAGGGACTTCTGGTGGTTTCAAACTGCCGACCATGCGGATGGCAGCCCAGTGTGTAACCACTACACCCTATGTTACCACACCTAGCTGAGTGACATCCCATCTAGGGGCTGTGTGCTCAATCAGTTCACCCCACTCGGCCACAGGCATTTGGGGTGCTCCCAATACTTCGCTATTAAGATGGTTGTCATGGGGAACATCTTGGAGAAAGCTGTCACCCCATGGCATTGCTTCCTTGGGACGGGATTCCCTGGTCATGCTGCCCCTGTGTCTCTCTCAGGCTCTGCGGCCCTGGTCCTGCAGAAGGGTGAGATCCGGGTCATCAACCAGACCACCTGCGAGAGCCTGTTACCGCAGCAGCTCACTGCCCGCATGATGTGTGTGGGCTACCTCAGTGGTGGTGTGGACTCCTGCCAGGTGGGCAGGGCCCCAGCAGGGTGGATGGCCAGGGGTGGGGCCCCACCTGGCAAAGGATAGGCAGGGGTAGGGCTTGCCCACCCGGAGGGAAAGATGGTGACCTGGTTGGAGGGGCCCCCAAAGGGCTGGAAATGGCTGTTGGCAGCGTGGGGACAGTGTGGGGTGGTTGGTGTGCACGGGAAGAGGGGTCTCCATGGCGGGGTGGGGGTGGGTGGGCGGAGCTTCATCCAGCAGGGTGGCAGAACAGGCTCGGGATAGGGCGGGCAGGGCACTCATACAGAATGGCTGGTTCTCCCGCAGGGTGACTCTGGTGGCCCTCTGTCCAGTGTGGAGGCAGACGGACGCATCTTCCAGGCTGGTGTGGTGAGCTGGGGTGAAGGCTGCGCACGGAGGGACAAGCCCGGCGTGTACACAAAGCTCTCGTTGTTTCGGGACTGGATCAAAGAGCAGACGGGGGTGTAGCAGCCAGTCAGTCCGTGGGCCTCAGCGTGCACATCTGCGGACAGTGGCTAACCTGCACCCCTGGCACCCTCCCGAGCCCAGACTGTGACGTGAGTTGCCACAACTCCGACGAGGACCCTAGGGTGCTGAACCTGCGGGAGGGCCTCTGCCTCCTCAGCCTCCGAGTGGGGCTGGGGACTGGGAAGAGAAGCAACCCGGAAGTGGTTTGAAGACATGGCCCCAACTGGGCCCTAGTGCTCCCCTGGAGATGGGGACCACCGCTCTGAGGAGCAGCTGTCTCTGGATTGGGAAGCCCGGGGCCACACTTTTCAAAAGACGCAGACCATGGGACTCTGGGAAATGGACGGCGCTAAAACTTGGTCCCATGTGTGCATTTGTGTATATGAGTAAAACAGTTTGTTTCTTTGTAGATTGATGCTTTTTTTCCTACTGGAGTCGTTGGGCTGCCCAACACCAAAAGCCCCATACATGCTGCTAAGCAGACACCCCCCCTGCCCGCCCAAGTCAGGCAGGTCCTGGAGTGGGCAGCCAGGCCATCTACTCTTAGGGCCCACAGGGTGGCTGAGGTTAACGGGGCGGTGTCCCGATTGAGGGGGAGGGGCGGGGGGGACACGTGGTGGGGATTGGGTTCAGCAGCCGCCTGGCCCAGAAGGGAGAAGAAAGAAGCTTTATTCCCAGATAGAGCCAGTCATGGACTGTGTGGATGAGCGGGCTTGCGTGGATTCTCTATACATGCAGTGGCCCAGGAGGACCGTGCCAAGGACTTGGGATGGAAAGGGTTAGGGAGTCCCTACCCGGGGGCTTTGAAGTGACCTCTTGAGAGACATGGGAAGCTGCCCGTCGGACTGGGGGCAGGAACAAAAGAAAGAAGAAGTGAGAGGAAACAGGTGGTTAGGCCAGCCACCGTCCTGAGTCCG